TCTCATCCTTCGTTGATAGACTCCTCCGCCTTGTTGCGGGTCCATTGCTCAACCTCTCCTAATATCCATATCGGATCCTGTCCGGATGTTAATGTTACGCAAAACATATGCCAACCCTTTTGAGACAGGTAGATCGTCCTGAGGGACTCTACATTCCCCTCTGTCATCTCGTCTCATCCCTCTTTTTCTCTTATTGGGTTCCACATCCTTTCGACCCACAGGCACGAGAGTTCCGACATGATCTCCATGCCTACTCAGTCACAAATAGTTCCCCCCCATTCATTTCTTGTTGCCAATGTCATTTCTAACCCCACTTTGAGCGACCTTGGTCGTCATCATTTAAACATGTGAGCATTCAGACGTTGTTCTCTGGCCATTTTGTTACTTGCACAAAGTCGATCACCCATTCCACCCCACGTCGGTAAACTTCCCTATTTAGAAATCTCAGTCCTTTATCTTGTCGTCCTCCTCCTCGTCTGTTAGGTCGTTCCCCACTTTGTAAAATAGCTCGCTTAGCCCGTCCAGAAATGTTTCTCCTATTACTACATTTTCTTCCAATGCATAGGGCTTGGAACATATACGTCATTTGTGCTGAGGCAATTCAGTATCTCAACTAATTCCCTCACCCAATTCCCTTCGAAGGTTCTCATCTCGACCGATAGTTGGAAGAAGTTTTGCCTGTCATATTGGTACAACCCGAGGTTTGTCACGGACTAGCATATCTGCACTAAGTCTGTTCCGGGTTCGGAAGACAGCGTCTACCAGGAATGGAGGCAGCACACACCTCATCGTTCTAAGTGGTCGCCTCACATTCCCTCTATCCCCGAGTTCAACCCGCACGTCTATCTCGTTCATTTCCATTTTCGCCCACAGACACGCCGCCTATAATACCCCATGTTCCGCCCGCCTAAACAATTTGTACGGGACTATCCCTAATGCCAAGTCCACAATCATCGCGTTCTCCCTGTCCTGGGATAGATAGATCCACCTCTAGGCTTCCATTGTCCCCCGAAATTTCAAAGCAGTCAGGCTTGGTGTTAACCGCGTGAAGCTGACCTTCATCCATAAGGTCTCTATCCAAAGGAAGGCAACCCCTTCGTCTAACATCACGGTCTGATAGGCTGGCTCGAGATCCGTCCAGGTTCCCTCTTCAGGCAAGACGACGGATACCCCGTCCTTTACATTTACTGACGTTTCTAGTCCGCTTCAATAAATTGGAGACTATAGCCACCACGCTATCTTGGTTCCAGCACCCGATCCTTGTTTTTCACAACCGAGCACCAACCTTGGTCCTTATGTTCGGTCGGCCTACACCCTGGATGAACAGTATTTGAGACCGCTCATCAAGGTCTGGCATAGTCTACCTTCCCCATTCTCAAGCTTCGCTCCTTGGATACCCTTGATCGGTCCCCTTCACTCATATTCATTTTCTTGGTTCCATTCAAAGCAGACCTCTATCTCCTCCCTCACGATCTTCACTCACTCGTGCGGACTTAGGCAGGGTGTGAGAATAGACTAGAATCATGGCCCTTCCTAACAACTCGTATCTCAACCAAACTTTATAGAGGAGGATTACAAAAGGTAAAATGCAGGCAATCTCACATACAGGTCGGTCATCTCCTTACCGACGTTTTTCCTCAGTATGGTCTCTGTGTTACTTTCCGCAGAGTTTTATCTCATACCTCAAGCGCAGCTCAACCGTTGTGAGCGAGGTACCTCAACTTCGGCAAAGGGTATTACCCCTTTCCGTTTGCCTAGAGTACCCCATCCATTCTTGCCGCCCTTGTACACCCCTGTCGATACTGGGAATCACCCCGAATACCATCGGTAGGAGTAAAGGTTAGTCGTCCAAGCATTCACATCTTTTGATCCATTAGGGGTTTGTTTTTTCCATGTCGTATTTTGAGAAGCTACAAGATGCCCCACAAGCATCCTCCCTGCCCCACATGCAATTGTGTTTCCTCCGTCTAATGACAACAGCGGCCTCGTCCGAGGAGACGTTTCGCACCCCGCTGAGCAAGGTACCGAGCCATGCTTAGCCTGCCCTGTCCATAATGCTACTAATCAACCCGGCGAGACTCATATTCATTTTCTTGGTTCTATTCAAAGCAGACCTCTATCTCCTCCCTCACGATCTTCACTCACTCGTGTGGACTTAGGCAGGGTGTGAGAATAGACTAGAATCATGACCCTTCCCAACAACTAGTATCTCAACCAAACTTTATAGAGGAGGATTACAAAAGGTAAAATTCAGGCAATCTCACATACAAATCGGTAATCTCCTTACCAACGTTTTCCTCAGTATGGTCTGTGTGTTACTTTCCGCAGAGTTTTATCTCATACCTCAAGCGCAGCTCAACCGTTGCGAGCGAGGTACCTCAACTTCGGCAAAGGGGATTACCCCTTTCCGTTTGCCTAGAGTACCCCATCCATTCTTGCCGCCCTTGTACACCCCTGTCGATACCGGGAATCACACCGCATACCATCGGTAGGAGTAAAGGTTAGTCGTCCAAGCATTCACATCTTTTGGTCCGTTAGGGGTTTGCTTTTTCCATGTCGTATTTTGAGAAGCTACAAGATGCCCCCAAAGCATCCTCCCTGCCCCACATGCAATTGTGTTTCCTCCGTCTAATGACAACAGCGGCCTCGTCCGAGGAGACGTTTCGTACCCCGCCGAGCAAGGTACCGAGCCATGCTTAGCCTGCCCTGTCGATAATGCTACTAATCAACCCAGCGAGACTGACTCCTGGCCAACAACTCGGTGGACCACCCTGCCGCACATGAAACAAAAGGCTACCTATGCGAAACGACGTTTCTCAACCCGCCCCAGCCGACTCAGACTTCCTTCCCTCCTTTCCGCAGTCAGGACGACCAGTTTTTCACTCAAGCAATCACAAATCCCAAGTGGGACACACATAAAAGAAGTGTCTTTCCCTTGGTGATCCCAACGCATCCTACCCATGCCTCACATTCTCTCTTAGGACAGTGTGTACCACTCCCCTTATTTTCTATACATAGTGGTTGGTTCCTTCTAGTGAACATCTTCAAGGGTGAGCTAGTTTTCCTTGGAGTCTAGCAACTCCGTTCATTTTCATTCTCTTCCTTTGTCTATCGTTTCATAGGGTAGGATTGTTGAACTTCTTCTTGAAGACCGTTGTGTTGATGTTAGTTCCTTCAAGCAATTCAAAGTGTTCAGTGCAAGGGCCCACTGGGCCCAGAAGAAGCATATAGGAACACACCCATTCGGCCGGATTACTCAGCCGTGGGATTTTTTATTGGACTCCGGCCGAAGCCGGTGCACCAACCGCTTGCCAGGAAACCGGAACCCTTTCAAACGAAGACGAAGGGTCAAGCTGCGAGTGCCACATGCCTCCCCAGAATTGACAAACACCAAATTGAATGCTATAAGTAAGGGGGTTAGAGTCACTCCCCAAAACAAAGTGAGCTGATTATGAGTGCAAACATGCATGTTATTCCTCCAGGCCTGACCATACCATGCGCCTAGCCACACTTAAATCTGTTTCTCTCAAGGGAAAAAACAAACTCAAGTCCATATTCCTTTTCTTCGGTTATGTACACGGCCATGCGTCGGGCGCCCCCTCTGGAATGGTAAGGGTCAGTTTAATCTCCTACCTGACATCTCCACCATTGTTTGTAGGGCCTCACCCTGTTAGACTTTCGAGCCTGAGTCGACCCTTCTGTGGGTCCCAGTTGGCTCCACTTCGCCCACAATCATGCTCAGGGCGCAGAGCCATTTGTCACAAGGTCACCCCCACCTACTGCTTTGAGATGGATGGGGGTGGGCCATTAAGCGAGAGAGCTTTGACATTCGGGATGTAGCTCAACTTTCTCGCTCGTGGAGACAGTTTTGTTGTTCACTCGCAAGTGTCCATTCCACGATACTCTGTTGTGTTCTCTTTCAATTGCTTCTTCCACTACATAGCCAGTCTATGGAGTTCTTTGAAAGGTTTTTCTTCTCTTATGCGCAGGTCAAGCATCTTACTTGGACCACAAATCCATTCACTAACGCAATGCTCCTACAACTTCATCGAGGTAGGGCGGGAGTCCCTCCGGTCCTCTTTGTCGGCCTACGCACTAACTTTCTTCGTTCCACAATTCATGCATCATGTTTTGTTGCGCCCCTTAGTCTTTTCAGGGCTCCCACCCGCATTCCTATAAGACTTAGCGGTCGTCTCGACCGTCCGACACCTTTGCAAACCTCAGCTATTCCGGCCATATTTTTCCTTTCACAATCGGAGTCGCATGCACAAAGGAGCTCATTCACAGGCAAAGGCTTACGTTCACAACCTGCTTCACCTTCTTTCCCACTTGCCCTTTGCCTCCCGGCCTATCCGGGCGCAGTCCAACTCAAGGCGTCTCTCAAGGTTACTTACATGCACACCCAATACAAAGCAAACGGATACAACCCTCATTTGGGGTCAACACATAGTCTCTCCCACATGCCTAATCTCCATATCCTCAGATTCATTCTCATCTCACTTCCTTTCCTCTTTCAAGCCATCCTCTTAGTCATGCAGTCGGGGTTCTAGTAGAGTCAACTGACCTATCTTTTACTTCGACACTTCTCTCTAGTCCTTCTCGGATTTTGTCAACCATCAATCCCGTTAAGCTCTTCTCTTTCTTATCTTTTTGGTGGCACAAGGGACCGACAACCCTCCCCTTGCCCTCTTTTTCCACCCAGTGAGATCAAAACTCTTTCATTGTTCGTAACCAGACAATGTAACAAGTGAGTGGAGGAAGCGTTAGCTGCATGCCACGAGGGAAGGGGAGAGAGGGTAAGGATTGACATTGGGGTTTGAAATAGGAGAATGAGAGAGGTTAGCGATCAAGAGAGAGAGAGAGAGAGAGAGAGAGAGAGAGAGAGACTTTCCCCGTAACCCTAATCCAACCTGGCTTTTACTTGTCCTACCGTCCTGCCTACGATTCCTCTAATCATCGGCGGCCCTATAGGTCGTGGACCACGACATTGGTTAGTGAAGGTTGTGGAGGAAGAAGGTGTGAAGATGCTTGACTATGGTGGATGGGTGAAGGAGGTGAAGGTGGAAGAAGTTGCGACGGTGCTTGGCTATGGTGGATGGGTGAAGGAGGTGGAGGTCGAAGAAGGTGTGAAGGTACTTGGTTATCGTGGATGGGTGAAGGAGGAGGAGGTGGAAGAAGGCGTGAAGGTGCTTAGCTATCGTGGATCGGTGAAGGAGGCAGAGGTGAAAGGAGGTGTGAAGGTGCTTGGCTATGGTGGATGGGTGAAGGAGGTGGAGGTGGAAGGAGATGTGAAAACACTTCGCTATGGTGGATGTGTGAAGGAGGTGGAGGTGGAAGAAGGTGTGAAGGTTCTTGGCTATGGTGGATGGTTGAAGGGAATGGAGGTGGAAGAAGGTGTGAAGGTGCTCGACTATGGTGGATGGGTGAAGGAGGTGGAGGTGGAAGGAGGTGTGAAGCCAGGCTATGGCGGATGGGTGAAGGAGGTGGAGGTGGAAGAAGGTGTGAAGGTGTTTGGCCATGGTGGATGGGTGAAGGAGATGGAGGTGGAAGAAGATGCGAAGGGGGTTGGCTATGGTGGATGGGTGAAGGAGGTGGAGGTGGAAGAAGGCATGAAGGTGCTCGACTATGGTGGATGGGTGAAGGAGGTGGAGGTGGAGGTGGAAGGAGGTGTGAAAGTTCTTGGCTATGGTGGATGGGCGAAAGAGGTGGAGGTGGAAGAAGGTGTGAAGGTGTTTGGCCATGGTGGATGGGTGAAGGAGGTGGAGGTGGAAGAAGATGCGAAGGTGCTTGGCTATGGTGGATGGGTGAAGGAGGTGGAGGTGGAAGAAGGCGTGAAGGCGCTCGACTATGGTGGATGGGTGAAGGAGGTGGATGTGGAAGGAGGTGTGAAGGTGCTTGACTATGGTGGATGGGTAAAGGAGGTGAAGGTGGAAGGTGTGAAGATGCTTGGCTATGGTGGATGAGTGAAGGAGGTGGAGCTGGAAGAAGGTGTGAAGGTGTCTGGTTATGGTGGATGGGTCAAGGATGTGGGGGTGGGAGAAGCCATGAAGCGTGATGAAGGTGCTCGGCTATGGTGGATGGGTGAAGGAGGTGGAGATGGAAGAAGCTGTGAAGGTGCTTGCCTATGGTGGATGAGTGAAGGAGGCGGTGGTGGAAGAAGGCGTATAGGTGTTTGGCTGTGGTGGATGGGTAAAGGAGGTGGCGGTGGAAGAAGGTGTGGAGGTGTTTGGCTATGGTGGATGGGTGAAAGAGGTGGAGATGGAAGAACGTGTGAGGGTGCTTGGCTATGATGGATGGGCTAAGGAGGTGGAGGTGGAAGAAGGTGCGAAGGTACTTGGCTACGGTGGATGGGTGAAGGAGATCGAGGTGGAAAAGGAAGTGAAGGTGCTTTGCTATGGTGGATCCTAAGCGTCTGGTCCCTACCTACTTGCGTGGTCTCAACGTTCGAAACATGAGAAAACCCAGATTGCGAAATTCAGACTTGTAACAGACACTCAGACTTTGCAGAACTCAGACTTCCAAAAAAAACTTCGACTGCGAAAAACTCATATTTGCGTTTGGTGGCCTTAACGAAGTCAGATGGCCATGTAAACAGTAAATTCATAGCCCTTTTGTGTATACCCTACTGATGACCCTTCTGAAATCTGGTCTGATTTCGTCGTCGTTTGCCCCTACTTGCCTGTTTCGGCCACCGCCCGAGGCTCTGAATTGACTGGTCGGGGAAATTCATTTTCTGTTTTTGTGGGAAAATGGACTCTGATGACCTGACAGTTTTGCATACCATCTATATATGCCCAGGAAATGGGGCCTATTCAGTCACATCCCCCATATCCCCTTTTCTGGTGGAGTTGGTTTTTCGGCACCCAGGCCGTGTTGGCCCGTTGGGTATTTCGGCCCGATTTTTGCCCCCGAGACTTGGACGGTGGCTTCCCTGCAGCAGCAATAGTCAAGAGTTTAGCCTGACATCAGCAGCAATAGCATCAGGTACATCATCAACAACAACAATCAGGAGCAACACCAACAGCAACTACACTCTCCTATCCACTCGTTCCCCTTTACTGCATTCAAGTAGAGCATGGTGGGGGCGAAGCGATGTTGAAATAAAGTGGCGAAATACTTTGAAGTGAGAAAATGGACAAAGCATAAGCATATGATGACATTAACATTAAAAAAGGCAAAAAATGGAGTAGCGATTTACACCCAAGAAAGAAGATAACCAAAGAGTAAAGGAAGAGTGAGTTTCATGCATGGAAACTGAAAATGCAAAGTGACGAAATACTTTGAAGTAGGAAAATTGACAAAGAATGAGCATATGATGACATCAACATTAAGAAAGGCAAGAAATGGAGTGGCGATTTACACCCATGAGAAGATGACAAAAAGTAGAGATGGTTAACAACAAACGCTATTCACAGGTCACTTTCAGCCACTTAAGGTCCCCACCTGAAACTCCTGAAATTACCTGTCGTGGCTGAAGCTTTTGAAAGAGGTTTCAAGTCCCCCAATCCAAATGGTTGGATGGGGGTACTTGAAACCTCTGAATTTGGATGGGGGCACTTGAAACCCTTTTCAAAAGCTTCAACCACTTTAGGTCATTAGTGCGGTTTCAGGTCCCCACCTGAAATTCCTAAAATGACCTGAAGTGGATGAAGCTTCTAAAAGCGGTTTCAGGTACCCTCATCCAACCATTTGGTGGGGCTACCTGAAGCCCCTTTCAGAAGCTTGAGCGACTTCAAGTTCAGGTCATTTTAGGTGACACGCAACAACGTTAAACCAAGAAAAAAAAAGGCAAAAAAAAAAAACAAACATAAAACTTGTCCTCTACACCACCCGAAACTTCTTAAATGACCTGAAGTGTCTTCAGGCCATTTCAGTTGTTTCACACACCTTCATAATCTTTCATTCTGAAATTTCAGGTGGCCGTTAACCACGAGTGACAAAAAAATGAAGAGAGAGTGTGTTTCACTCACTCTCATGCATGGAAACTCAAAATGCAAAGTGACGAAATACTTTGAAGTGTAAGTGAAAAACAGGGCTACATGGAGACAATCTCTACTGGAGAAGCTACTTCCTACCTTCCTCTTGCTTAGTATGTTAGTTATGGAGAAAAAGAAAGATAAGGAGAGAGGACAAGCAAGTGATGTAAAAAAATGAAGAATAATTAGAAAAAGAAGAAGGGAAAAAAAATAAGAAGAAGGAGACGACGACGACGAAGAAGAAGAAGAAGAAGAGGAAGATAGAGAAGAGAGGAAGAAGAAAAAGACGCGTTGTCGCGCTGCTGTCGTCGACACCATTCGGGGGGTCTTAAAGTCGATTACAGCGACGATGACCATTTGACTGATTACCATATCGAAGTGATAATGTCGATATCCACCTCGCACTAAGCAGATCTGAGGCACCCCCTCCCTCATAATGCGATGATTTTCACAAAGTTGACCATACCGGCCCTACCACATCGTGGACACAATGTTGATCCGAAACATACCGGTCCGGTCATTTGACCTTGATAATCGGCTCGAAGTTGGTCATATCGTGACGACCGCACCAAAATCAATCAGTATCAGTGTGGTCGCATCAAAGTCGACCTTCCTCGAGGCAAGACTGATCACAACTCGACGATACCTAAACCAAGGATTTGCGGCGACGATCGTCTACCCCCCGGAATCTCGCCCCTTTGCACATGCAGTACCACGGGTAGGCTCAATTATAGCCCATGCCCCATCAAGCTTTGCACGTGTTGTTGTCAACTCACAATTCGTCTATGTCCAACCACTGCTTGAGTCATCTCTCACGCTTGTCTAAAGGTTAGTAGGGAGACCAAGAAACTCAAGATCACCATCAAACATTCATATGCATCCCCACATAAAAAACATTAAAAAAAAAAAAAAAACACCCGAGAACTCATATGTTTGAGAAAAGAAACGGTACTCGACTAGTAGGTAGTGCCCCAACAACCAGTCCACACCTCGATTCTCGACGTCCCCGTCGAACCTTCACACAGAGAAAAGTTGTCGCTCTACTGATCCTTATTTGACGTTATTGATATTTCACCCCTGTCGAGCCCTGAGCATAGTTTCCGATTAGATTGTCTACCGTTTTCACAACTCCCTCCTTCGTTTTTGTAACTATGGCACATTCTTCTGCCTGAAAACTCATATTTAATCCCCCTTTACTGGACTATGGTACATGGTTTCCCCTCTTGATCGCCCGAGCATATTCTATCTCATGAGGCTTACACGACTTCTTTATTTAACTATCGTACACTCTTCTATCCGATAAGCATTCTTGCTTCGCTTCCCGTACTACACCCGTTTCATCCTCCTTATTATTTTCTCTCATCGCTCCCGTTTTATCGTTTTCCTTCTTTCTCAAGGCTTGCCTTTAAGGTTTTTCTCAAAGCACTCCTTCGTCCTTCAAACCGGCGCTTTCGTATCTGATTTGCGTCATCGTCGTCATCCCTCGGCCTCTTCCGCCTTTTCGGTGTTTTGGACAGCGAAGGCTTCCAGACCTTGTATCCTTTCCTTCGCGCCATAGGCGACGATCCCCTTTTTGAGGTCTCGCGCTCTTCGTAGCGGGCAAATCCTTCCATAGGGATCCTGACTTCCATTTTCTCTTTTAGGTCCGTCTCAAAAGTTCCCCTCCACCGAAAAAGTTTCAATCGCACTCCCACGACGGGGTCTCTGAGTCTTGCCCCATCTAACTCAGCGAGAAGGTACGCGCCTCCATCCACCGCTTCAGTACCCGATACGGCCCCATCCACCGATTGACCAACTTTTTGGCCTAGGTTTTTTCTAGTGACGAGCCCTACATCAAGAGGAGGTCACTAGTCCCTATCACCCTCTGTCAGACTCGCAGGTTCCGATCCCATCTTTCCTTTCCTTTTGTTCTCTCCTTCTCAATGTCTGGGCCTCCTCCATCGTCCCTGCGTCCAGATTCTCAGCTATCTACCCCAATCTTGCTTCTAGGAGCTCGCTCCTCATCATATTGACCCTCCACGAGACGCTCGTCCAGGTGTCTGCATGAAATTCGATAGGCAGGGGGCAGTGCCTACCGAACCACAAGGTATAAGGAGGGTAGTCAATGCTTGATTTGACTATGATGTTATCTGCCCAAACTACATATCGCAGGAATCGAGGGAACTGCTTCTCCCAACCCTTGCGCCATTTTGTTAAGGCCTTCACCAAGCTTTGATGCCCTCGCTTAACGGGTGCATTGTTTTGGGATGATAAGCGGTGGCATAAACCGCTTTGATCCCTGTTTTCTCTAGTACCCCTTTTACTTTCTGATTCGCGAATTCGCCTCCCCGGTCCATGATGATCTTCCCCATATGGCTCTAACCTCTATGAATTCAGTGAGGTCGTTATGTGCATTGATAATGTACGACAATCCCCCTTCCCCTTTCGGCATGGTTATTAGATCCATATGGACCTTCTCCCCCGGCGAGGTAGGGAATGATGGCAAACGAGGTTCCTTATAAGGGACAATCGCTTTTTTTTTACAAGCTTCACATATTGAGCAATACTTCTCAATTTCTGCATATTGTCCATTCTACCAATAAAGCCTTCGAACCTTGTCGAATGTCCCTTTCACCCCTCGGTGGCCTGTAATGACCCGTCATGCAATTCTTCTATGACAGTTTTTCTTTCTTCCGGATTGCAAAGTACTCGCATGGACATTGCTATCTTCGTGGGTCTTTTGAAAAGGTGTCCGCGTCTCAAACAATATTCCGCCTGGACACCGTATGAAAATCGTCTAGCTTCCGTCGGGAACATCGACTGTGGTCACATGGACCGCGCTCAGCCAAGTACAGCCAAGTATCAACTCGAACGAACATTTTTTTACTGAAAAGATAGACACGCTCGCCTTTACTCCCGCGACCTTGATCAACGGTCTGTGGCAGACCCCTTCAGCTGGTTCTAGTTTGTTATTTGTGACCACTATAGACATGGCAATTTTTTTGTCCGCTTCTAGGCCTAATTCCTTGGTGATCGAATTTGGCAAACGGTCGACTCAGACCCGTTGTCCACCAGAGCCCTTATTTCTTTCTCGTTAATCGTAG